CCTCGCTGCTCTCTGTCCCTTCTGGATTCTGCTCCTAGGCTTGATCCTATTTAGGTTGCTTAGCAGCAATAGTGTAATTGCAATCAAAAGAAACGGGGAACAGAGAAACCCTTTCTCTTCAGTGTAAAAATTAACTCCAGAATATAGGAGTTCCCTTGTTTCTGTGGTCTGGTAGCAGATGTCCGTTACTAATTCTGCGTTCATACGCACCGCAGGAATGTAATCACTCCAAGACTGACTTTTTATAGGAACTCTTTTTACCTAGGGGCTCCTCAGAATTCAAGACAGGCTTGTGTATGCATGATGACTACATGTTTTGTGGTGCAGTGTAGAGCCAAACATGCTGTCTTTTTTCTTTCTGTCTCTTTCCGGCAGTCCCAGTATAAGAGTCACTTTGTTGCTGCAAGCTTAAATAATCAAAAGACTGGTAGCTCCGCTGCTGGTGCTAGTGGCTGGACCAGTGCTGGGAGCTTGAACTCGGTACCAACGAGTTCAGCACAGCAAAATGCTGCAAATCCTGACAGCCCAATTGCAGCCGCCGCAGCAGCAAAGGGTGTTCCGGGTTTCACCAGCACGGGGAATTTGAGTAGCGTTCCCACCTTTCCAAGCGTTGGAGTACATGGCTTCAACAACACAAATGCCAGCACCAACAATCGAGAAGGCAGCGGCATTTTTTCAGCGGCACCAGTGTCGCCACTGCTGGCAGCGGTGGTGGCGGCGGCAGCGGCAGTGGTGGTGTTGGTGGCAGTGGTGGTGGCGGCATTGTCAGAGAACGATACAACGACAACCGGAACAGTCGCCACAATGAGGTCCCGCGCCGTGGAGAGGGCGGTGGTCGCTACAATGATGTGCAACGCCACGGAGAAGGAGGCGGTCGCCACAGTGACGCTTACCGCCATGGAGAGGGCCGACATGGCGACAACCATCGCCACGGTGAAAGCCGGCACTTTGCTGATGTGGGCAGTGGCAATCGCAATAATGGTGACAGAAGGAATAGCAAC